GTGCGTGGGGTCTGGAGACCCCAGTGCCGCCGACACTCACCTTGGCTCCCCTCGCTGGCCCAGCTCCCTCACACCTGACCCCTGCAGACTCTTACATTTCACCTCCTGCCAGCTCTTTGATGAGACACATTCAGAAAGAAGCTGGACAGATCTTTTTTTTTCTTTTTTGGCACGTTTCAGGGTCCTTCGAGGAGCGGTGAGGGTGTCTCTCTGCCCGGTGCACGAGGACGGTCCCTCTGCCCGCGTGGGGTCTGGAAGAAAAGGAGGACAGGCCACCCCGATTCCTCACAGGTAACTGGATGTGACGAAGGGATGGTCTCCCCGCACACGGCTCATGTGAATCATGGCTCGGTCATAGGCCACCTGCACGGACTTGCGGATGCTGGTTTTTCGCCCTTCCAGCATCTTTAACTTGTCCACAGTGTCGTCCATGCCGAGGGGATAGACTTTGTCACGTGGAAGCCACTGCCTGCAGCACAAAAGGTAGCACAAAACCCATCACCGAGGGCATCGGGAGGGGAAACAGGGGATGAAGAGCAAATATCTGAAGACCTCTTGCCCTCGCAATGCTCCTCCGCAGGAGGCTGACTGCCCCCACGTCTCCGGCTCTTACAACGGCTGCAACAGGCCAAAGAGTTTGTCCCAAGAATTTCCAAGACATGGCCAAGTACTCCAGCTCCTCCAGCATTCCTCACATCTCTCAGCAGCCATTAGTCACTGGTTGTCACCTCCTCCCCCAAAGCAGCTACGTTCGTGTCATCTATTTGTTTCTAATTAACACCCCACAAACACCCGCATTTGACATGGAACCACCTGCAGCCAAAATGCCTTCCTGCACCAGCACAGATTTCTCTCTCCTTGTAGTCCTCACTCAAGGCTTTCAATGCTTCTCGGAGCTCCAGGGGAAACTTGGCAACTCCTGTGTTCCACAGAGCAGCAAATACAGGGAATTCCATGGTGGAAAGTAAGTTTTTCATAGAATCATACGATGGTTTGGGTTGGAAGGGACCTTCAAGCCCCCCCGGTGCCACCCCCTGCCCTGGGCAGGGACACCTCCCACCAGACCACGTTGCTCCAAGCCCCCTCCAACCTGCCCTTGAACCCCTCCAGGGATGGGGCAGCCACAGCTTCTCTGGGCAACCTGGGCCAGCCTCTCACCACCCTCACAGTATTTTATCCCCAAGAAGGCTTCTGCCTTGTTCCAAGAGGCTGTAAACATCAGGGTTTGAGTGACTACAGCACCTGAGTATCATCCCAAATCAGGCAGCTTCCAGTAGACATGTCCCAAGCTCAAGTTGACCCCAACCAACTGATGACTTAAATCACAAGTGCCTTTTCTATAGCAAGTTTTTATCGTGCACTCATTAGCCCGGCTGAGAAACACACTAGCCATCTTTCCTAACGAAGCCCAGCCCCCAGGAGTTAAATCTCGGCCACTGCAAGCACTTGGGCAACCCAGGGCAGCTCAGCTGATCTTCACCATGAAGACTAGTGGCCAAGGTCACTCTTTGTGACCCTTCTGCAGCACCACTGAAGTCAGCGGAGTTGGGCTTCAGCACCAAGAGGGGTTTTCAGGACTTTCCTGAGGCGCCTTAGCTTCCCACAAACTGCACACAAGGACCTAAGTGGTCACTTAGAAGTATAAACATCTCCCAGAGCTTGTCTTCAATGAGAGCAGGGCAGAGCTGAGAAAATGCTGATTTTTTATTGGGAAGGTGGTTTCAGTTCCAAGTTTGGATTTAGGGTTTCCAAACCCGATGACTCCAGCAACCGTCAGCGTGGCGCTGCCATTGATTTTTCAGCAACAAATCATTCATGCCTCTTTGAAGAACATGCCCCTGCATCAAGCGGTTCTGGGAATCGGGGACAGAGAAACAATGCAGTGTACTAATAAAAAAAAGCCTCGGGAGCATGTCCCTTGGCACCTCTTTTCCCCAGAGGACCTAAAAATACTCATCAAGTGATGCCGATGTGATCCCCTTCTCAGCTTCCCAAGAAGGTGGCACATTCTTCTCCCTTTGCCTGTGTTGTCTCCATCTCTTTAAACTGCATAAAATACTGCAGCAGCCCCAAAATGTAGGGGGAACGCTCTCCCTTGTTGCTTTTCCCCGCTGGGTGTTCCCTCCAGCTATGACAGCCTCTGGGCAATGCTCACTTCCTTCCTCCAGCCCCTGGCCCTTCCCTGCTCTTTTATGGGAGATGCTCTCTCTGGCAGGGCTGCCTGGCTCCAGCCTCTCCCAAACCCCTTCCAGAGATGCCAGCACAAACCATCCCTGGGAAAATAAGCAGGAGAAGGGCTCTCAAAGGACCACGAGGCTCCTTTTTAAACCCTCGGCATCTTCTTTTACAGAGGCAGCAGCAGAGAAAAGGCAAGCCCATTCTCTCCTCCATTCCCACGGGCACCCCAAGGCCCAGCATCCTCATCTCTGTGGAATAAACTCTCCGAATCCTTGATCCCTGTGATCCCAGCTCCACACAGGGATTGCCTCCGCTGTGACAATTTATCCTCTTGGTTCGTGTTCCCACGTGGCACTTGCTGCTTAAATAATCCAGTGGGTTCAGCGTGCGGCTGCCTGCTTCTGGGACTCACCTCTTCCAGCATAATGCTCCAATTTTACAAGTTTCCCATTGTTTCATACGTGGATTTTAAAGCCTTATTGCTCAGATTTAGTCTGTCCGAGACAGAACGGTAAAAGGACTTTGAGATATTTCACTTGCCCTGAACCAGGTGCTTACACCTGCATTTTCTAGCTCAAGCAAATATCTTGATTTGAAAACTGCAGGTATTTGGCACCTCTAAAAAATCAGGCAAGTCTAAATATGGAACAAACTCAGCATTCTGAAAATGTTACCCTGGAGATTTTCAGCAAATTCTCTGCACAGCAGCGGAACTGGCTGCTCAGTCTGTGGCTGTTTTCAAGCCAAATGCTCTAACTCACTGCAGATTTTGCCTACTAAATTGGTATCTTTGTGGTGATGTGACCCCTGGGTGAAAGATGCTGGGCTGCTGGCTGTGGAATTGAAGCACTCAGATGTCCTGGGCCAAGGAAAAGCAGGGTGGCATCCTCATTTAGGCTCTTCTTGCCTGCTGCATATTTAAATTCTCCAATTTACATGTAACATCATCACCATAATCCCTGTGGGCTCTCATATACCAAGGAGCATGTTAAATCTCCCCTCTTTGCTCACAGATCCCCATCTGCCTCCGTACACTCACCAGGTTCTCTTGTTGTCAAAGAAAAGGACGAGGAAGAGCTTTTCTCCTGCCTCTCTCTGCCTCTGCTCCCCCAGCTTCAACACATCCAGGGGGGGCACGGGGATGGGAACCCCGTTGTGGAGCAAACCCTCGCGCGGCATCTTGGGGTCAATTATCTGGTGACATGGGAAATGATAATTAAGCACAAAACCCTTCAAGTACTGCAGAGAATGTGTACTTTTTCCCCTGTTCTTTCAGCCTATCCAAGCTGGACAATTAGGATGGGGAAGCAAAATTGCTGGCTCTCAGCAGCAGTTTTTAAATAATTTCCCTGTCCTTGAGGAAGGGAAGTCAGTCCAAAGGCCAAGCATCCGATCTTAAAAAAGAGAAAAGACATCAATATGTGGCTCTGTGTGGATGTAGATGTATTTACACTAATGGGTACTTTAGTACAAACTCAATATTTTTTGTGTTCAGCAAAGGATTTCCTTCCCTCAATCCTAACTTGTGGGACAAATGTAACACTGTTGCTGTTCTCAGCAGGTATAACGTGATTTCGCAACAGCTCTGGTGCCACACAGTCGATTTCAGTGGCACCGCTCAGATTTATGCTGCTGTCAGATCAGAATCAGGATCAGGCCCACGTTGGGAGAATCAACCAGCATTTCCAGGGTGGGAAGCACAGACTGTAGTTATTTTGGAGAGAAGTAACAACACACACATCGATTCTCCCCGTAGGGAGCAGAAATGTCAGTGTCCAACATCTGTGCTGCGGGATCACAGGAGAAGGGAACAGCACAGGGTGGATGGAACACTCGGTCCTCTTTGCCTCCTGATCCTGGCTCCTGAGGGCTTGAAAAAGCAGTTTGGCTTTGACATGGCCAGCTGGAGGAATTTATTAGGACACTTTACTATGGTAACAGAATGCTGCTGTTAAAAAAATGCCTTCTTGGGGGGACAATCTCACCATTTAAAGCCACGCTAAAGTACAATTTAAGTTCAGCTGCAGCCACACGAAGATCTAAAAATGCTCTGGCTGGCCACCATGGCTAGCAGATCTCTGCTCTGGGCTAATAGCATGGCTAAGGGTCACTCTTTAAAGCAGAATCTCCTCTTTTTGATGGCATTAGGAGCGTGCTCGGCCATGGCCGGGCACACACGCTGTGTCAGCTCATGGCTGGTGTCACAGCTCTGCTGCTTGGATGGAGAGATCCAGGTAATCTCCACGGTGACTACACTTCTTTCACCCCCTGCGACTCCTCAGCAGCCACAAGCGCCATCTCTCAGAGCAATCCCAACTGTAAAAGTAATATTTAATGGGATGGCTGCAGCCATGCAGAAATTACATGGAGCAGAGACGGCAGGAAGAGCCACGTCTCAAGGAATATATTTAAAAGCAGCAGAAATAACACAACACAGTCAGCCTATCTCATGTTCTAACTTCTATTCTTACTTCTGCCATCTCTTTTGATAACTTAACTTAAAAGCCACAGTGGTACTGGCACTTCCCAGCAACCGCTGCCATGTCTTGCTTTGGAACTGAGTGTAGTGCCCACTGAAGCTGGGTTTATGGATGTCACACTAATAGTCAAATATCCAAACATGGGTAAATATTAAGGAACTATTGTTTGAAGGACCAGGTGCAAACATGTGCATATATTCCCATATTTAAATCAAACATATGGTTATTGCAATAAATATATTGTATATATACATCACAAGGCCAGTCGGGCACCTACATATGGGGTTGTTCTCACTATATAGGAAAATGCACGGGCAGTTAGACACCAGTGGAACCCGGTGCCTGTCTTTATAAAATTTAGGTCTTCTCATGCCAACAGTCTTGATTATTTTCCCCACACCCACAGAGTGAACAGAAGAGGGGAGGCAAGACCTCTTCCTACCCTTGGCACCAACAGAACAATGCTTTATGAATCCTCTGCAATGCTCCGAAACAATGAGCACAAGGAAAATTAACTGTGCAAAGGGGGAAAAAGGAAGAAAAAAAGACATATTGAATGATTTTGGGAAGTTTCCGTGCTCTGGGCTACCTGCATGTGGGGGACAGACCCCAAGAGCACAGGGGTACTCACCAAGGCAGGGTAGGAGGGGTAACCACGGCACTTGGCCCACACGAGCTCCAGGGGCTCCAGCTCAGCCTGGCTCTCCAAGGACATCAGGAGAGTCCTGCCTAAGGGACAGGAGGAGACATGGCTTAGTCCTAGCACTGTGTGCACACATGCATAATTCCAGGCCATTTCATCAAGATCTAGAGCAAAATGGAAAGCCATGGTACCTACCCAGAGGTAATAAGACACACACTTCATCTGAAGTAAGTTTTTTGCTAAAATTTCAAGTGCAATGAGATCTAGCCTGGGCACAGTGAATGTCCAGCCTTCTTTATGCTCCGTCACCACCGTCATGTTCTCATATATTCTCATACACCAAAATAAAGCTACAATCTCCTAAATCATGGGTCTAAGTCTACACATACAGCTTCAGATAAACTCTTTAATATGGAAATATTCATCAAATTCAGTTCTGGGGTGAATAGCTGCTCTGTCATTGAAATCAAGTGGGTGTACGAGAGATGAATTTGGCCCATCAGGCTCTACCAAACCAAGTCCATCCTCAATGGAACTGATGAAGCTGTATCTGAGATTAATTTGTACGACTCTTCAGAGTCCTTTTTATTCCTCCTAAATACAAATATCTAGACTATTCTGATGCCATATGCTTTGGGGCTATTTGATCTCTGCAGGAAATGCCTGAGTCTACTTGGCAGAACTTTATCAGGCATCAATTTCTTCAAACTTAAGTCTGAAGTATTGCAAAAGATCCATTCAAGACAGGAATAACTAATCTGCCAGCTCCTGCCCCTGGAAAAGGAGCAGTCTTCATTAATGTGAATTTTACAGCAATTAGCATTTGCTCTGGGGAGGTGGGGAGGAAATGCTCAAACACTGGCTTTCACAGAATCACATGGGATTGGAGGGGGCCTCTGGAGATCATCTAGTCCAACCCCCTGCCAAAGCAGGTCACCCAGAGCAGGTTGCACAGGAACGTGTCCAGGTGGGGTTTGAATGTCTCCAGAGAAGGAGACTCCACCACCTCTCTGGGCAGCCTCTTCCAGGGCTCTGCCACCCTCAAGGTTAAGAACTTCCTCCTCATGTTTAGATGGAACTTCCCATTTTCCAGTTTGTGCCCATTGCCTCTTGTCCTGTTGCTGGGCACCACTGAAAAAAGACTACCCCCATCCTCTTGACACCCACCCTTTAAGTATTTATAAGCATTGATCAGATCCCCCCTCAGTCTTCTCTTCTTTAGACTAAAAAGACCCAAGTCCCTCAGCCTCTCCTCGTAAGCTTTACCGCAAGTCATGCTGAACTGAGAAAAAGCTGAGTACACCCCAAACAAGTGCCCTGCCGAGATGGATCTGATGTGCTTTCTCCACATTGCATCCCAGATGTATCCTTCCATTAATGAAATGATGTTCAAAGCCACAGAATTGTCCCACTGATTCTAACTCTCCCACTCCCAGCCCTGCTCTGTGAGCTTGTCTCTCCGAAACAGCTTTCTCCACATTGCATCCCAGATGTATCCTTCCATTAATGAAATGATGTTCAAAGCCACAGAATTGTCCCACTGATTCTAACTCTCCCACTCCCAGCCCTGCTCTGTGAGCTTGTCTCCCGAAACAGATCGCTGTGGGTTCCGGGATATAATGGTTCCCAGGAAGCCAGGAGCACATGGGAGCTGCACAGAAGGGCACAGCCATTCCGGGGACTCCAAGCTGAATCCTGATTTCAGCATAAACCTGCAGTAACTCTATCACTGACACACCATAAGACAAGAATCTGTTTGTGTGAAGATGGGTGTAGTGCCTTGGGTAGAATTAGAGGAGCGTTATTTGATTTTACTGAAGTACAGCACAGTCTGACAACTACAACTTGGTTACAAAGACCTTGGAAGCAACGACAGCCAGACAAGAGGGACCAGCTGTGAAGTCATCTCCAGAGAGACCCTTCTTACCAGGAAAGATCATGGAGAGGATCATCTTGAGTGAGCTCCTAAGGCAAGTGCAGGGCAGCCAAGGGATCAGGGCCAGACAGCATGGGTTTATGAAAGGGAGGTCCTGCCTAACCAACTTGATCTCTTTCTATGACCATGTGACCCGCTTTCTCGATGAGGGGAAGGCTGTGGATGTTGTCTACCTGGACTTTAGTAAGGCCTTTGACACTGTCCCCCACGGCATTCTCCTGGAGAAACTAGTGAATCATGGCATAGACAAGTGTACCCTCCGCTGGATAAAAAACTGGCTGGATGGCCGTACCCAGCGAGTTGTGATTAACGGAGCTAGATCTGGTTGGCGGCCGGTCACCAGTGGTGTCCCTCAGGGCTCAGTTCTGGGGCCAGTCTTGTTCAATATCTTTATTGATGATCTGGACAAGGGGATCAAATGCACCCTCAGTAAGTTTGCAGATGACACCAAACTAGGTGGGAGTGTTGATCTGCTTGAGGGTCGGAAGGCTCTACAGAGGGATCTGGACAGACTGGATCAATGGGCTAAGGACAATGGGATGAGGTTTAATAAGGCCAAGTGCCGGGTCCTGCATTTTGGTCACAACAACCCCAGGCAACGCTACAGACTTGGGGAAGAGTGGCTGGAAAGCTGCCTGGAAGAACAAGTCCTATGAGGAGAGGCTGAGGGAACTAGGCATGTTTAGTTTGGAGAAGAGGAGGCTGAGGGGAGACCTCATTGCCCTCTACAACTACCTGAAAGGAGATTGTAGAGAGGCAGGTGTTGGCCTCTTCTCCCAAAGGACAAACGACAAGACCAGAGGAAATAGTCTGAAGTTGCGGCAAGGGAGATTTAGATTAGATATTAGAAAGAATTACTTTACTGAGAGAGTGGTCAGGCACTGGAACAGCCTGCCCAGGGAGGTGGTGGAGTCACCATCCCTGGAGGTATTTAAGAAACGTATAGACATGGCTCTTCAGGGCATGCTCTAGTGCCCAAAGTTATTGGTTTATGGCGAGGTGTTGAGTGTGGGGTTTAGTTGGTGGGTGCGGTGTTTTTGGTGGGCGTTTGGTGTGGTGTGTTTGGTTTTTTTTTTGTGGTTGGACTCGATGATCTCAGAGGTCCCTTCCAACCACTAAGATTCTGTGATTCTGTGATTCTTAAAATTATGATTCGCTTCTTGTATTGCAGCATCAGTAAAGAGAACTAGTCCCAAATCAGGAGAGTCATAGAATCATAGAATTGCCTGGGTTGGACGGGACCTTTAAGATCATCGAGTCCAACCATCAACCTAACCCTGATAAAAACCATCACTAAACCTTGTCACTAAGCTCTATGTCAACCCATCTTTTAAATCCCTCTAGGGATGATGCCTCAATCACTTCCTTGGGAAGCCCATTCCAAGGCTTAATAACCCTTTCCGTATAAAAATTGTTCCTAATATCCAATCTGACCCTCACCTGGGGCAACTTGAGGCCATTTCCTCTTGTCCCATCGCCTGTGACTTGGGAGAAGAGACCGACCCCCCGGGCTACACTCTCCTTTCAGGGAGTAGGAGAGAGCGAGAAGGTCTCCCCTCAGCCTCCTTTTCTCCAGGCTGAACACCCCCAGCCCCCTCAGCCACTCCTCACAAGACTTATGCTCCAGACCCCTCACCAGCTCCGTTGCCCTTCTCTGGACCCGCTCCAGTCCCAAAATGTCTTTTTTGTGGTGAGGGGCCCAAAACTGGACACAGACCTCGAGGTGGGGACTCACCAGTGCCCAGTACAGGAGGACAATCACCTCCTGAGTCCTACACACCATGCTGTTCCTGATACAGGCCAGGATGGCAGGGACATTACACACACCAGACCTACAGGGAGCACCCATCTTGGGGGAACACAGGGCACAGGCAAGCAGCAAAGTAGGAAAAACCTTTTATGCAATAACCTAAATTTGTAACAAAGCAGGTAATAACGCACAGGCAGGTCAGTGGCCTGGATAGTTCATGCGGGACAGGTTCCTGGCATGGATTGAGACTCGCTCCCCCTGGTTCCGATGGATGTCAGCCCTGTGGTGTGGTGGGAGCAGAGCAGGGTGTTCCCCAACGCGGGGCTGAGGTGCAGCCATGCTCACCTGAACTGCTGTAATCGGCGTCTCCGTTCACGCCTTCCAGGAAGGGCACCCGGGAAAGAGCCGGCTTCCCTCGACTTCGCTTGGGAGGCATCAAACCACTGTTAGAAAAACATGGAAAAGCAAGTATTAGGAGAAAACAGGTTACCCTTGGGAATGAAGCCAAGTGCATTCCTCAGCTTGGTTTAAAATACAAAATTACTGTACTGGTGCACCTTTGACATGAAAAGAACAGTGAATTCTTGAGCAAAACATCAATACGTCCCCTCCGGACTTTCTGGACTGGACATCACCCCAGTTTTGCCATAAGCAATGAGAGGCCTAATGGAAACCAAGCAGTGAGGAACAAACCCAGCAAGGACTTGATGCTGGAGAGCATGTAAGCAATTGGATGTTCAGCCCCTGTCCTGAACATCCTTTTACCTCGTTACTACAAACGTTTCATAAAATGGACTATCTCCACCTCAAGCAATCACATTTTTTTCACTTACTGTAATTATTTTTATTTATTTTTTTACAATTTTCTAATAACCAGCCCATTCTGAATGATTTTGGTGCTCAAAGCAGTAAACAGAGCTGTTCCTAAATATAATCAATTGTACAAGTTATCCACAAGACATCAACTTGGTTTTAATTCCTTGTTTTGTGGGTGTCACATAGCTCTAATGTAATTTTTGCTCTGTGAATTGCTTGCAATTATTGTAATAAGCATTCGCATCCCACTTTTCATCTTCAAAGTACTATACAAATATCAACCAACAAGTCCCCATGCTTCCCTGTGAATTCAGATTTGTCTCCCTCCCTTAGAACTGGTGAAATGGAGGCAATTACTGTGGGGGCATGAGGCCAAGACATGGTTTGAAAGGGAATTTCTGGCTCCTGGTCCTGTTCCAAGAGCATCCTCACCCCAGGAAGGGTTTCTGCACGACTCAAGGCAATGACTGAGCTGAAGATCAGGGCTCGCAGCCCAGAGGAGAGGGGAGAGATGAAGAAGTGCGTGGGTGTCCCACCTCAGAGAAGAGCTGGAGATGCCCCTCAAGGGGCTCAGCATGTTCTAAGGGAAATCATTTACTGGGGCACCATGTGCTTCTCAGAATCTGCCTGGGGAGGTGGGATCACTCTGATGCAGGGAAAAGCCCTCACACCAGAATATGCTCCTCCAAACCCAGGGCATCACCCTTTGTCATGGGCACAAAGGCTTTTGCGAGCAGATTTATAACAGAAACATTAAACAAACCTTAACTACAACTGCAAAATTATACACCTCTTTTGACAGCTAACATTTAGGATCACTCTGCAGGGCACAGCAAAGTTTTTATTTAAAAAACTGCTCCTGGGATTCAACCCTGCTGCAGAATAATTCACTATTAGTTCTAAATTGTAGCCCCGGTCCCAAGAATAGGTATGCACGGGCAGTTTTATGATTTTAAATGCCTAACTGACATCAGGGGGTCTTACAGGACTTTCCGAGCACACGCATCGGGAGGAAGCATAAAAAGCCTGAATGTATTTCTCTAGTGATGGGTCATCAAAGACAAGCAGAGGCCAACAACATGTTCAAGGCACTGAAAATATTACTAAATATCAGCTAAGAAAGTCTTGTTTCTGCCTGTCCTGGACAATCTTAGCCATCGAGGTCAAATGTTCTAAGCCTGGCCCTCACACAACCATGATTTTCACGTAACACAGGTTTTACCATGCAGGGAAAGGGCTGTGGAATGACTTGAGCCAGTGACAGGAGGCCTGGATGGGTAGGTAGGACCAGAAAATGGATATGGTACCCATGAATGCCTACTGCATCTCACCATACGATGACACATTTGCTTTCATTCTGCTCAGTCCTGTCTGAAGTGCTCAGTTCTGCTTTTAAACCCCCAGGAGGAAGAAAGCAGCAATTCAGTGGGAGGTAGAAGTTCAGATTTACCCGCAGGGTTGGGCTGGACATCTGAGTTCGACGTTTTTCTAGCTTTGGTTCTCAAGAATTGCAAGAAGGTGTGCAATGGCAGAGAGGATGTGTATGTGCTGAGAAACAGAAGTGCAACAGATACCCCATTTGCTTGAAAAAAAAAATATCAAGTGCTACTTTTGGGACCTATAGCTTAAGAGAACAGGAAGGAATCTGAGAAGCTTTTTGTCTTTAGGGTCAACACACAAAGTAAGTAACAGCTTGGGCTGGTTTTGACAAAGAAGACGAATGATAAAACCAGGCAGATTAATCCAGACACAGAAGGTGTTCTGGGGAACAGTTCTGCACTTACCTGCAGGCTTCAAACCCCAGTCCACCACCCAGGCATGAGCTGCACTCGGAGTCAGAGCCGCTTTCTGGGTGCTTTGCGAAGCCGTTCATCACTGCTGCTGAAGAAAAAAATAGGAATCAGCCCAAAAGAGCAGCAGCAACACACAGAGATGCCACCAAGGCTCAGGTAGGGTCAATGTCCCATAATTCACGGCCACAAAGATGCTGAGGAAAATCCTGTGCAGAGTTCCCCAGACTCAACTGCAACTCAAAGGTGACTAATAAAAAGTATTTATTCCCCTCACACATGAAAAATTGGGCTGTTTCTTATGAAGCAAGTACTGGAGAAGTGCCCAGGAATGGTATAGGAGAGCTTCATGCAGTGTCTTGCTCACTGGGCAAGGCCAAGGTCCAGGAAATGAACCACTTGCTCATCTTGGAAAAGACACGGATGTTTCATGTTGGTTGCCACAGACTTCTGCCTGCCTCACCCCAGGCCTGGCTGCAGGACTGGCCCCTGCCCACAGGAGCAGGCACATAAAATCACAGCTTATTCGGTTACAGGTTCCTTGCTGAGAAAAAACGGCTCTAGGAAAACCTTGTTGCTTCAATCACTGGAAATGAGGTTTTCCAGTGGACAGAGCAGACACTAGGGAAGTAAATTGCCCCTGGGTAGAAGGCGGCTCCCCACCACCTTCCCCTCCAGCCAGTGCAAATGTCGCTGTAGCCAGAAGTGGAATATTTCACTTTTTTGTCCCAGACGCTGACAGCGCTGGAAATCTTCCCTTCCCTGCCAGATTTTCTGCTCTGTGCTCTGGAGGGATGCCTACACAGAGAGCTGGGATCACCTCTGAGTTTAGACAACATCCATGTCCAGAGACGGGGGGGGGGACAGTGAATGACCCCTGAGAGCATCCCAAACAGGCAGGGGGAGGCAGAGGAGGAAGCCACGGAGATGCTGGGAGGGCTGGAGTCCCTCTGCTGTGAGGACAGGCTGAGAGAGTTGGAGGGGTCCAGCCTGGAGAAGAGAAGGCTCCAGGGAAACCTTAGAGCCCCTTCCAGTCCCTAAAGGGGCTCCAGGAAAGCTGGGGAGGGATTCTTGATCAGGGAGGGGAGCCCGAGGATGAGGGGGAAGGGTTTGACACTGAAAGAGGGGAGATTGAGATGAGATCTCAGAAGAACTTCTTTGCTGTGAAGGTGGTGAGAGCTTGGCCCAGGTTGCCCAGAGAAGCTGTGGCTGCCCCATGCCTGGAGAGGTTCAAGGGCAGGTTGGAGGGGGCTTGGAGCAATTTGGTCTGGTGGGAGGTGTCCCTGCCCAGGGCAGGGGGTGGCACTGGGGGATCTTAAAGGTCCCTTCCAACCCAAACCACTCTGTGATTCTATAACTCATTATGGACACGTCTTGTCTGCACTATTTTAGAAACTCGTGGAAGAGATGAAGCGTTTACCAAGCACCTCTGGCTACAGAGCATAAAGCGAGTTTCAGGTGAGCAGTTTAGATGCAGATGTCTTTATTCAGTCCCGGAATTCCCACTCCCTTGGGCCCATCTCACAGTTTGCAAGGGTACAGAAGGAAGAGGAATCCCAAGGAATTACCTCTCTGTCCCGCCTGCCTGGGCGACTTCTCTCCATCGCTCTCGCTGCAGGTCCTGCTCTGCGGCCGCTTCCGAGTTGGTCGTTCCCCATGGTCCTCCCCATTCTCCAGGGCGCAGTCCAGCCCTCTTTGCAGCTTCACCCCATTCTTAGCTTTTTTAAAAAGGACAGATGTCCGTCGGCCCACACCACTGAATGGGGGCCTGGAAGGGGTGTCTGCGGGTGGCAAGGCCAGTCCATTGAGGCCATTGTCGCTGAGCAGGCGCTGGAAGGCCTGGCTCTCCTGCTGCAGGGCCTTCTTGTCAAAGATCTCCCGGTCTGACATCACCCTCTTCTGCAGCTGATTCAAGGACTTGCTTTCACTGATGGGTTTGAGCGTTGGAGGGTCCTGCAGAGAGTCCAGCTCTGAGAGGGAGGGTGCGGGTCCCGCGGGCTCCAGGGTTGGAGGATGCGGAGGCTTGGCATCATCTGCTAAAGGAATGAAGAATCTGCTTGAACATTTTAGAAAGAGTTATTCCCAAAACCACCAACAGCCATTCCCGTGTTTCACCAGGGCCACCAACAGGAGAAAAAGCAGGTTCTGGGTGTTGACATGCACTGGGCGAGCTGGAGCTAAAATCCTGCTGCAACCACTCACCTTTATCCCCTTCCTCGTCCCCTTCCCTGGATGATTTATCCAGCCCCTCTTCCTGTGGCACAGACTCCCCATTGAACATGGTCTTGTTCTGCTGCTGGGCCAGTTTCTGCCGAACGGAGTTGATCTCCCGCCTCAGGAGCCGGATGCGTCGCGTGCGGGCGCCGCTGGAGCGCATGGTGCTCACCATGTCCAGCTTCTCTAGCAGCTCTTTCAGCTGGGCTTCCAAGGAGAAGTGAGCCCGGTTCTCCGGGAGGAGGATGTTATCCACTGCAGCAAAAGAGAGAGTAGAGTGAAGGGAAGGAGCAAGGCTTCTTGAAGAAGCGTTTGGGACTGTTGCCATCCCTAGTTCCCACTGCTGCTATTCATGAACCAACTGCTTTTTTTCGGGGATTTAGGAATCGTTAACCTTGGAGCTCAGACCTCCTTTGGGTAAAGAGCAGCCGATTTAAACTGCGCTACCCTCCAGTTCCCATTAGTGTCCCAGAGGCAACAATGAAAGGACATGTGTCTGCATCCACACAAGACACCTCACAGCTCAGGCTCTTGGCAGAAACCTATTTCATTGCCACATTAAATGACAAAACCAGACCACAAACTCAACTGGCCAAAACATGACGTGCTTGCCATTCCTCTGGCTCTGCTGGAGGGCTGGCACCCACCAGAGCAGAGCAGACAGCTGAGGGCTCTGCTAACACACACCAAAACAAATTTCATTTCATCTGTGTCCAAGAGGGCTGCGACGTTTAGAAAATGGAGTGCAGGCTGGGAGCTCTGCGTGCTGGAAGGCAGCAGTGTCCTGTACGAAGTTTAGCCAAGGTATTCCACCAATGCTTTGGAGCTGCACCTCAAGACAGCTATGGGAATGGGCGTGATGTGAATGAAAAGTCTCAGCGAGGAGGACTGCTCTCATTCCAGTACCTTAACCCCACATCACCCCCTCCAGATATCTAACCCAGTTGCTCTATATCTTGCCAATTTACAATGAAATGCATGAGCTTTCCTGAGAGCAAAAAAATCTTTAAAATACCAAAGTTTGTATTTTAACAGCACAAATCTAACAGCACAGCCAGTCAGACGTGCACTGGGAGAGCTGGAGCTAAGCTTCACTGAGCCCCAAGTGCTCAGCTCACCTGAAATCCTGCTCTTTGAGGCCATGAAGGAGTTAAGATATATGTTTAGGTAAATAAATGGGTAGGAAAATTCTAGTATGCTGAACAATGGCTGTGATTCTCATGCAGGCTGAGTGACATGCTCAGAACAAAGGACACAACAGTTATGATCTGCCTGGAAATCAAAGGTTACTAAACACTCACCATCCTCCCAAGAAAAGCGGTAAAAGTCCTCAGTTTTGGGCGACTCGGGCAGGTGAATCCCCACATCAGTGTCAAAGCCAATGTTTTCAGCCTGCCGCCGTGCATGACGCAATATCGCTCCTCCAAGGTCTCTGAGCCGGACAGCTGCTCGGTGGAAAATCGTGTCTTTAGCATTATACCTCATGCAGTTGGTAACTATAAGGTTAAAGTCTTCCTCAAACTCATCCAATGTTCGGTACAGGTGGGACTCCAGCTTCCGCCTCATGGTGGAAAAATCCATTGGGTTGGAAATGAATTCCAGGTAATCTGGAACCTAAACATATAAAACCTGTACAATTACAAAAACCATTTACTAGCCAACTAGAGCGCATCCCTCATAAGCACTCTTAATGTCCTTTCCACCGTCAAGGGACAGTGCCAGCAGCTCATTTCTGTGTCACCCAGTCAAGGCAGACACATCCTGGCTCTGCAAAACTTTATTTGGCTGAGACGTGCTGAAGCTTCCAGAAAACAATACCCTTTTTTTGGCCTGGAAGGACCCCCACATCATGAGTCCTCTTTAAGATATTCTTTAGTCCACCATCAGCTTGGGACAAGGTGGATTGTGCTTCTGCCAGCACGTGAGCTTCTGCCCAGCAATGCCTCATTGACAACCCATTAAGACACCTCTAGGAAAGAGACTTGCCTCGTTCAGGTTAACAGGCTCTGCGAAGATCTGGGCAGTGTCCTTCTCCTGCAGCAGGTCCAGCGTTGTGCGCAGAAGGACGTTGAAAGGGGTGAGCTGTAGCTCCATAGCAGCCTGCTGAACCTTGACCTGGGACCGGGAAAAACAGCCATGAGCACAGTTAGTGAGGACAGGGTACGTGAGTGGTGTCTCCCTCCGGTTTCTCCTGAATCATCACCCCAGCTCTACCCAGCGATGGAAACCTTGGGTCACCACACCACCGGTCGGGTAGAGTCACCGCTGAAGAATTCCTGGCGAACACCCTGTCCCCTCCATGTGCAGGAGGTGCATGAACACCCAGCACTTTGCAGAGTTCAACTGCACAGTCCAAATCTTTTGTATGGGGAACTCCTGTTTATCGCATCTCACAAAGCCAAAACAAGAGAAAAACCCATAAAATTAAAAGATAATACAACTAAAAAGGAAAACAGGAAGACGCTTTTCATGCCTGATGAATTACCCTATAGAACTCCCTGCCTCAAGATATCATTATGCCAATTAGCAACATTATACAAAAGTTAAAAGTATGTAGGTGTTTACATGAGCAACAACATCCATAATTAGACTACACAGCATAAACAAAGTTTAAGATACAGGCTCTCACACTTCAAGGCAGAAGCCAAACAACAAGAGGGGTTAGATGTTCGCAAATTCCTAACACAGTTTCTTACATCCTTTGTGAAGTCTCTGACACTGGCTGATTTCAAGCAAACAAGTCGTAGCACCGGTTTGATCTCCTACACTGAAACTCCATTCAAAGGAGGCTGGAACAGGATAGAAGTATTTCTTTCTCCTTTAACGCTTTAATTTCTTTGCTCTTATAATCCCTTCAGGTATTGATAGGCTGTTATAAGGTCTCCCTGGAGCCTTACAGATGGATGTAAACACTCTTCCCCCCAGAACAGGAAAGACTGAGGGCTCTGGAGCATCCTTCAGCCAAAAGCTGGGCTGAGACAGACCTCCAATGAGATACCCTTATTCTTTTATAAAGCACACCGTAGTTTCAACAAGCTTTTATGGATTTAGCCAACTGCAATATGGATATAGTAAGATATCAAAAGCAAACAGAAACAAAGCCCAAGAGTGATTTTTTTTAACTTTTTTTTTTTGATCCTCCTACCTAAAATATGTGCACACGGCAAACAGGGCTGAGCCACTGCTGTAAATCAGGGACAACGTAGCAAATAAACTGGCCCTGGCATAAAAACACTCCAGAAAAGCTGTGGGCAGTCTCTGGCCACAAAAAAAAAACAGTTTGCAGAGGGACAGTGATCCCAGAGGATGCTGCTTTCCCTCTGCCAGGCTCCCTGCGGACAGGAGGAGCACCCAGGGGCAGAGAGAGCACCCAGTCAGTGACCGAAGCCAGGGGTGCAGGCTCCCCCTGCGCAGGGAGATTCTTCCATGAAGCTGTCGAGGAAAATACTCGTGGCAGAGAGCACCATTGTGGCTGCAGCATCCAAGCAGGTATGGCAAGGAAAGATCCTCGACAGGCAAAGCTGGCAAGTGTGGGAAGTAACTGGTGCAGCCTTGGAGAACTGCACACAGATCAAAAAGGAAATTAGCAAGTGGTCTCCATCTCAAAAGACTGCTTGTTCTCAAAAATGTACTTTGGAGGCAGTACATTTTTGAGAAGGAAGGAATTTTTAACTTTAGAAATGAAGAGCAGAATTGTGATTTAGACCTCTCTATGGAATAGGTGTTACCAAACTCCTGGAACAAACACTAAAGGAGATCCCCAACTTCTACTCTGCAAAACGCCCAGCTCATGCCCAGATAGAGAAGGGGTGCTGTAGGGCAGGAATAAACCCCCCTGTTAGTTACACAAACACATCTTCCCTGCGCTCTGCAGCCCAGCCCTGGTTCTGAGGGCAGAGAATGAGCAGCACGAGCCTGTGACCAACACAGGGAGAGAGATGGCTGCTCTGCATATCCAGAAGTCAAACTCCAGGGAAAGAGAAAAAGGCTCAAGAAAAACCATCGCGTTCCTCCTCTGCCTCCTGCAGCACTGGGTGCTCCCATGGGACCGGAGCCAAAACTCCCTACCTGCTCCCGTTTGAGTTTTTCCCTCTTGCGGATCAGCTCGATGAGTAGCCGGGCCCGCTCCAAGTCATGTCGCAGTTTTTGCCAGTACTTTAGCTCTTCCTTCACTGTGCTGGTCTTCTCGTCTTGCTCCTTCTGTGAGAGAGAACAGTGGGGTGAGATTAAAAAAATATGACTGGCTTCCTGAGCTTCCTCCTCTTTCTAGCCATCCCCTGTGAATTGGTCTCATAGTCTTTCTCCTCTCTACTTGTCCCTTGTTCAAGACTACGTCTTCTTCCTACAGCATTTAGAAACACAACATCAGCCTTTACGGATTCTATGTTACCTCTGAAGTTAGGCCTAAATCTTACTGTAGCTACACTCCAGTAACACACTTCACTCCATGCTCATTTACACCCTCCTTGCTTTTATATCCAAGTTCATTACAGAAGCTGGAAACTCCTTCTGTTGGCTGCCGTGCACTGAAGAGGTGGCCCAAAACGTTTAGAATGTAAAGGCAAGGGGAGCAAAAACATGGGGGAAAAGAGCTATTATTATCCTCTTTGTAACCAATAAGAAATAGAGCCACAGACAGAGATTCACCAAAACACAAAGGAACAGCCAACGCCAGGAGATGAGCTCACACCTTCCAAGACACTGCTTCACAATGCAAATCTTCCTCCCTTTCCTAAATGTGTAGCTTTTCAAACAGTTTTGAAGACATAGCTGAAGTGCATACACTTTTGCATGATTGCCGAGAGAGGACAACTGCTTCACGAGATCTGGATGGTTTATATTTATAGGGCATTTATTTTTAAGAAGTTACTTATGGTAAATTGCCAACTTAATACACCAAGGAAATGCTGCACTTCCCCAAGCTCCAGGCTGATGAGTGGGAAATATTTCCTTTATTAATCACTCGGAGCAGCCTTCATACAAACCAAAAACCTATAAATTCCTCCAGCTATGGTAAAAATATACGGGCACAAGGTGCACGATGCCTCCTGCCAGGCTGCGTTAGGGGGTAGAGTCCAACTGCTTCAATACTTCAATTGCTTCTTGTGCCACAGAGCATGGAGTGACTCTGGACACCAGCTCAGAGGAGGAAGCAAAGGAGTCCAGGGCTGATGATTATGTCTAAACTTCCATATGAATGGCCATGGGAGGGTCAGAAATTGAAGGAGCAGGAAGAATGACCCAAACTGGAATTTGGCCAGGACTCTGGAGCTAACACCCATTTTCTCGAGGAGGGGATCTTTAATCACTTATGAGGAACGTGGCTTTATGATTCATCTATGAGATCCATCTACGGGCCCATCACACCCTTGCACAACCCCGGGTCTCCTGACTCAGGGGGAAATCTCTTACCTGCTGGTTCATCAACACCAATTTTAGTGGCAGGATGGATATCCCACTGATAACTCAGCTGAAATCAGGTCACCCTCTGATGCTTCCACCCTCAATCCCCTTCCCAGCTGTGCATCAAGCACATTTCCCCGGGGTTGAAAGCTCTCCATCTTCTCGGGTGGGTTCAGCTGGGGACCAGTACCTGCTCGGCATTCCTCTGGGACTGGAGGTGCGAGTGCAGGCGCCGGATGAGGGGCACCCCATTCCTCGCCTGCCGCTTCAGCAGCCAGTAGTTGTGGAGCCGCTGCATGAATTGGTTCTTCCTCTGGAGGGAGAGGCCGCTGCAGATTTTGTTCAGCCTGAAGGAAGCAAAAGGAGGTGTCGTGGAGCCAACTGCAAAGCAAATTGCAACTCTGCAGACACTGGGGATACGAGGTTTCCCTGTGTTGTCTCAATGCAAGCTCTGAACTACGCGTGCAACTGGTAAAACCGGGATCTCCCCACTGCAAAGATGTATGTGCCTATTTTATGCAATATACACCTGTTTTCATAGAATCATAGAATGGGTTGGGTTGGAAGGGACCTTGAAGACCACCCAGTGCCACCCCCTGCCCTGGGCAGGGACACCTCCCACCAGACCACATTGCTCCAAGCCCCCTCCAACCTGCCCTTGAACCTCACCAGGCATGGGGCAGCCACAGCTTCTCTGGGCAACCTGGGCCAGGCTCTCACCACCCTCACAGCAAACAAGTTCTTCTGAGATCTCATCTCAATCTCCCCTCTTTCAGTTTAAAACCATTATCCCTCATAATTTTAGAAGCAGCTTGGCTGGAGGTTCTCACCAAGCACTTGCCCCAGCACAAAGTACACAATCACCAATTCGATGCCCAGCCTTAATTTCAAAACTACTTTCAGTGTCAAGAATTTTCCTGGGGGTCATTTAAGTCTGACGTTATTAAGCTGAAGTCTGGGAAACTGACATGATGGAAGTCTGAAAATACTACAGCACCTATTTTAACCTTTTCAAACCATTTGTTAGATTATATGTCGTGCGTTATTAGCAGCTTTCCAAAGCTTCTCTCTTAAAATACCAGCGACACATCACCACACTTCCTCAGGCACCAAATGAAAATTCAGCACTACATCGTTCTGCATGAGAGAGAGCTGGGAGGAAAAAACGCACAGCCACATTCAAAGCTGTCTGCAGCACTGACAAGTTTGATATGCTCTGTAATAAAAGGTGCAATTAAGAAACTATGAAATGAGATTTAAAAAAATATATATAAATAGGAGGATAACCTCTATCTGCCTGCCAACGTAGAATCATAGTATAATAGAATTGTCTAGGTTGGAAGGGACCTTTAAGATCATCAAGTCCAACCATCAACCTAACTCTGATACAATCAAACAATCACTAAACCATGTCTCTAAGCACTATGTCAACCCATCTTTTAAATCCCTCCAGGGATGGTGCCTCAAGCACTTCCCTGGGCAGCCCATTCCAATGTGCAATAACCCCTTCTGTGTAAAAATTTTTCCTACTATCCAATCTGAACCTCACCTGGGGCAACTTGAGGCCATTTCCTCTTGTCCCATCACCTGTGACTTGGGAGAAGAGACCGACCCCACCTTGCTACACTCTCCTTTCAGGGAGTTGGAGAGAGCAAGAAGGTCTCCCCTCAGCCTCCTTTTCTCCAGGCTGAACACCCCCAGCTCCCTCAGCCACTCCTCACAAGACTTGTGCTCCAGACCCCTCACCAGCTTCCTTGCCCTTCTCTGGACTTGTGATGTCTGAAGCATTTTAAACACACTTTCATGGCCATCTAGGTAAATTTGGATGCTGGATGGATGTTTGCTGTTAGGGACCACCACAGATCCTGTGTGACAGTTTGGGGCAACTGCTTGGCAAAGCAGGAAAAGCAATGTGCCAGGGACACACACGTGGAAGAACAAGGGTCAGGGATGATTCTACACAGCACACTTTGAACACAGTTATTGCTGGGTCTTGACCGCAGAAAACACTTCCACTTTCAACAACAAGAGGGACTGAGTCCTCAAAACAGACCCTGTCCCAATCCTTCCTATCCACTTCTAGGACTCACCTGTAAGAGGGGATTTGTGCAACGGTCACCATGGGCACAGACGAACGCCCGTTGGTCACGTCACCCGGCTCCTTTTTGATCTTCTGTTTCAATTTCACTTGGTTCTTTTTCAGAGACCCTTTGGGAGGGCCACAATTGGCTTCCTCCTCTCCCTCCTCCTTCACTGTGCCCTCCCACCCTTCACCACTAGCAGCAGGAGCCCCTTTTTTCACCATCCCAGGCGGGGAATGACTTTCACAAAAGGCAGTCTTGCGCACGGTGAATGTCGTGCCGTTGATGCTGGTTTCTCTCATGGGTTCGATCTTCATGAAGAGACCAGCCCGTTGGGCACAGGTGACGTGGAAGGCAGTGTAACAGTTCACCTTGTGGCACTGGATAGCAGCTCCCATGCCCTTCTGCTTGCAGATATAGCATGTAAGCTTCCACCGAGCCGGAGGGATGTCACTTATCCCTTCGATGGGCTCCAGGAACACAGTGTTTGCAAAGCAGACCTCTGGGATCCAGATGGCACAAACCACGTGAGCCCAGCGGCCATCACTGGTCTGCTTGAAGGCTCCGCCTTTGTTGGGGCAAAGGACACAATCCACAGGGCGAGAAGGGGACTGTAAGCAGCAGCGGCAAAGCCACTGCCCCTCGGGGATATAGGGCACACCATAACACTCCTGGTGCACGGCCAGATTGCAGATATCACAGAAGAGGATGACATTGCTGTTGTGACACTCATCGTCCATGCAAACACAGCAGAAGGCGTCCTCGTCGATGAGGGACTGCTGAGCCCCGTTGTTCCGGCTCTCCAGGTACGACTCCTTTTCCAACCGGTCCACCAGCAGCTCAAAAGTGTCAGCAGAAACTGTCCCGTAACCATCGTCCCTTCTCTTCTCATTGACCATTTCCAGCCATGCCAGATCCTCCTCATCCATGTCATACTCCACCTCAACGTCCAGGTCCTCAGGAGGCTTTTCGATGTACCGGTAGTAGGCGGCAGGGAGAGGGGGGGCATCTGGCTGGCTGAAGAAGTCTACCACACGGAAATTGGGCTGGGGCAAGTGTAAAGACGCCCCCGAGGCATGTTTGGAGCAGGGCTCTTTCTTCTTGCCTTTGGAAGATGTTTTCTTAGATTTGGAAGGGAAAAGGGGCTGCTCGCTGTTTTCCTTGTTGCTGTTGCACTCTGTGATATCCTGGGCAGTCAGCTCGTCCTCCGTGATGATTTTTAAGGGATCATAGATGCTTATGCGATGAAGCCGCCCATCGATGTCTACCTCCACGATCCGCTGGGCCTGAGCATAGGTCAGAGTCTCCCGAGTGGGCGAGCACTTGAGGCTGTAGGGCGAGGGAGAACGTCTCCCCTCCAAGTTCTGTCGGGACCTCCTCCGAGGCTTCCTCATCGCTGCAGTCCAGAGACCCTGGAACAAAACAAAACAGAGGATAGTGTAAGTCAATAAAACAAGCAAGGAGCAGCACAAGTTCAAAAACTCAATAGAGCAACACTTCTACTTGAGACTCCAGCAATTTCAAGTTTGCTGAAGCCTCTTCACCTTCTTATACACAAGCAGGTAATGGATATATCAACCAGTTCTTGCAACGTGTATCACAGCAACGCACAGCACCCTCCAACCTTCTCTATTTGCATGCCAAGAGATGTATACAGAATCACAGAATGATTTGGGGTTGGAAGGGACCTCTGCAGATCATCCAGTCCAACCCGCTGCCAAAGCAGGTCCACCCAGAGCAGGTCCCACAGGAATGTGTCCAGGTGGGTTTGGAACGTTTCCAGAGATGGAGATTCCACCGCCTCTCTGGGCAGCCTCTTCCAGGACTCTGCAACCCTCAAAGTGAAGAAGTTCCTCCTCATGTTTAGATGGAACTTCTCATGTTCAAGTTTGTGCCCGTTACCTCTTGTCTTGTCACTGGGCACCACTGAAAAAAGACTGGCCCCATCCTCCTGGCACCCACCCTTTAAGTATTTATAGGTGTTGATCAATTCCCAATATCCTGACAAATGCTAGTGTTCTGCAAGCCCAGGAACCGTGGAGGTGTGCAGGTATTTGTTGATCAGTTCCCCCCTCAGCCTTTTCTTCTCCAGACTAAAAAGACCCAAGTCCCTCAGCCTCTCCTCATAAGAGAGATGCTCCAGGCCCCTCTTCGTCCTCGTAGCCCTTTGCTGTACCCTCTCCAGCAGTTCCCTGTCCTTCTTGAACTGGGGGAGCCCACAGTACTCCAGATGGGGCCTCATACACCCCATACTACCAGATAAGGAGCTTACATGTATTTTATATATTTTAAACATAGCAACCACAGAGTCTGCTGGGCTTTTAGCTCAGCAAACCCTTCAAGATTCCCCAAAACTCACTTATCACATCTGCTCACACCGTTGACATAGTAAGTTCACACAAAGCAAGGAGTTCTCTGTTCTTTTGCCCGCGGCTTTTCTTTTCTATTCCCAACAGCACACAGAACGTGCTGGATGTTTTCCAGATGGAAAAGAAAACACTGCTCCTGCCTTGTGAAAGCAATTCCTACAATTTTTTTTTTTTTGTCACTGAGCTCCGTATGAGAAAACTAGCAGTGCTCCCTCATTGCAAATGTAAAAAGTCCCATAATGAAAACCCAACCCTCCAGCTTTGCCTTCCCTTCTCTTGCTGTCCCTTGCACCACTCTCCGGTGTCCATTGGATCAACTGTGGCCTCCCCAAAAAGCCCAAACAGAACCAGAGGATGCACTGAGCAACGCAATGGGTGCTGGATGTGCATCCCTTCCGCTCCTCGGTGGGATCCAGGAGGAAGAGGAGGGGAATGAGCATGAAAACAAGCAGCACTTGTTCCAGAAAGACTTACTGGTTTTGGCTCCATGTTAGCCGCCTTCTGGAGCCACAATCTGTGGTCAGACACCTAAGCTGGTTCCACATGGAGGGTCCAGAGGGGTAGGAGCAGGAAAGCAGCACAACGGCTTCTGGATCGCGCGGTGGTGATCACTCAGAGCCCAAGCCAGTTCTGCCCTCACAAACTGCTAATCAGCAACCCAGATAATTATTTGAGAGTCAGCTCCTGACATTAAGGAGGTGCCCGTCAAAGAGGGAGTGGAGGAGAAGCCCGGAGCCAGAGAGGTGAGCTGGGGGAGGATGGAGACGCACCAGCAGGAGCCCAGCGATCTCAGGGCAAAGGAGAGAGGCAGTGAAGCATAAACCAAGGGAGTAACGCAAGTGAGAAGGGCAGCATCGGGGATGGGAACACGAGTTAAGGGAAAAAATGGGCCGAGGCTGAAACAAGCCAGAGAGGAGACAAAGAAAAGCAAATGTAAAATCTCCCCAAGAAGATAAGTCAGCCCAGAGCTTATCGGTTGCTACGCAGAGGCCTGAACCGGCACCTCACCCTTCTTCAGAGCAACCCACACTTTCAGCCCCTTTCTGTGGGACCCACAGACAAGAAAACACACTACAAACCTGTAATCTGTACTCAGCTGTTGCTTTATTTCTGCTCTGTGAAGGCCGTAGCTCCACAAACCCTCAATCATGCGAGTCAGAGCAAGCAGCACCTCGCAGGACCAGGACCTAACAAAAAGTCCCGAGCTTATCCCAAAAAGAAAGAACGAATTCCAGGAGCAACACCTTTTTCCTGAAAATGCTGGCTCTGTGAACAACCAGATGAAGCCATTATACACCATGTGTCCCAAGAAACAAAAAGGCTTTGGGAAAAGTTTGTGTCTCTTTTGCATCCACAGAAATCAGCTGCAGGTGCTGGTTTGAGTCTGCACACCCACAGTGATGGAGCCTGAAGGCACAATTTAATTTCAGGTAACAATTTCCACCGGCAAATATTAGGTACCATGAATTGCAGGACCTTTGCCTTAAAATTCTAATCAGCTACTTGATCAGCAGACTGCAGGCACCTAACTGCCCTGGTCCCAGCGGAGCTCCAACAGCATCTATCAGTAGGAAAAAAGGATTTTAAAATACGGGTATAAAGGCAACTTAGAATCATAGAATTGTCTAGGCTGGAAGATCATCTAGTCCAATCATCAACTTGATCATCAAATAAATAAACTCGAAAATCCTGCTGACAAACTTGCCTCAAGCTCTTGAAGTTCAGGCAAGTTATGAGCAAAGATGCTGGAGGGAAAAAGACAGATGAGCAAAAAGATACTGGAGGATAAGGTCATTAGCATGAGCTGAACACACTCACATTTAATACTGTGTTCAGGAAAAAGCAAGGCATTAGCCGATTGCTGGGAGTGCTGAGGGACGAGCATACCTCATACACCTGAAGGAAGGGTTATTTTACCTGTTGATGGGAAAAACAAAATGTATGGCATTCCCATTGCTTTAATGAAACAACCAGGATATTCTCAAGAGAAATCACCCAAAAAGAGCTTTCCACGACAGCAACTGACTGCCATAAACCAGCTCATTTGTAAAACACACAATTACTTACCACTAAGGAGAAGCATCTAAAACGGCACGGAAATTGCTGGCAGTGAGAGCCGAGTGCCTGGGATAAGACACGCACCTGGATATTCGGAGAGACACAGCTACCCACTTCCGAAATACCTTGAAAGCAGGAATGAAACAAACTCAGACACGCTGAGCCGAACACGGTGACCTTGTCTGCAACACAGAAACTTCTCAGCAGCAATCTAGGAATGTTTTGATCTTCTTGGCACGCTTGAAAACACCTCCTGGCCACGGATAAAAAAGAATCCTTCTGCAAACAGCACCCGTGCACACCGAAATGCTGAGCGGACTCGATTTCAGCAGGCTTAAATGCTATTTCAGCCCATGTTGTCTCCGTCCCACCAGAGGGGGGGACGTGAAAGCAGAGAGTTCAGTTGTCCTCTCGCTGTCACCACAGTGTGCTTGAGGCTTTCCAAAAACCTCCCATCGTTTCCGCCGGGTGTTGTGCCAGGAGCAGGGGGTGAGGTTCCTAGAGAGCACAACTGAGCAAACAACACGGCTGCAATGCACAAAGCCACCGGGGACAAACCTAATTCTACCCCAGGAGTTTGCTCAGGAATGGTTCCACTCTCCCCAGCAGCAGTTTTCACACCTGGGGGCTGTAAAAAGTGACTAAGAAGAACAACCCACTCCTCAGGAGATTTAAATTTATAAGGGGTTGAAAGCTCCGCTGAAAAAAATCCTCATATTGGATAATATCGCAATACAGGCCCCTATGGTACATGCAGCCTTAAAAATCCAGCACGAGTGGCTCCTCTAAAGGAAGGGCTAAAGGTTGCCATGATGTACACAAGCACAGCACTGCGTTGGCCATTTCTGAAGGGCAGAGGCAGCCTCTTGCACCGGAGGAGACCTCAGTCTCCTTCCCACCACAGTCCTTCCTTCCAGCCTTCCCTCACTGACAACCAAGGTTTCTTTGCCAACCTGCAGAGATGAGGCTGGAGCTCCAGGTATTGCTGCCAGGGGAGATTCCTGGTCCTTCCCACCATGGTTTGGGGAGCCCAGAAAAGAGCCAGGTCCCTCGAAGACAAAGAACTTCAACAAGGAGAAGGCCACCAGGACCTCGGTGGACAGCACCGGAAGGGAACAAGATGGCTCTCATTCCACTCTGCGGCACCATGACTACCAGCAGTGGCTACAGAGCCACCAGCTACAGTTTGGGGTTTAACGTCACCAAAAACTCTGGGACACCAAGTCAAGCGCAAGGTCCGGGGACACTCCTGCTTGTCACCGTCCCACACTGGCAGCCACACGGCTGCTTGTGGCTGTTTGCTGGGATTTAAAACCCCTTCCCATGCATCAGAGAAAGGACACCTACAGAGCTATTTAAGAAATGCATCAATAAAATGAAAGCAATAGATGCCAGAAGAAAGAAACAGCCTGGAACAGCCAGAGGCCCTTCTCTGCCTTTCTCTCACCAACCAAAACCAGTGGGTGAAGCTTCTGCTGCCCTCGCTGATGACCCTCCATGTTCTCACCACGGGGCCATATTGTCCCCACGCAGCTGCTGAGGGTTTACCCACCTCACCCCCACGCTGATCCCAACAACAAAGTGTGTCGGTGCTCAGCTGACATCGTGGCAAGATGCTGAGCCAGCACCTAAACCTGGCACAGATCTTTATCAACCCCCTGATATTTCTGCAACCAAGCCAAGCTGACAGAGACGTGTCTGGTCACAGCAGGGGAGCTCCGTCCGGAGCTGGGAGGGTGTGAGACATGATGTCCGGCTGCAGATGAAGTAAAGTAAAGGTAAAGTCTGGGCTCAGTAACAGGCAGTGCATGCCATGAGCTGTGTCTGGCCTCAGCAGAGCTCTGAAGGATCCACAGCATGCGATGAGCTGCGTCAGGTGCAGGCCTGGAGCTCCTCTCCGGGGCTCCCCTGCGCAGTGAGGGCCACGGGGTTCCTGCAGGGAACCCCAGCAACAGCCAACGATCTGGGTCAAGACCCAGCAGGGCCCGGGACAAACGTCAAGCCGCCCCCTGGGAGGAGAAGGGGCGACGGGTGGCCGCGATGAGCTACCCCGGTCCTCAGCAGCGGGCCCTACGCCACGGGCCCCCCGCCCCCCGGGGAGCGAGAAAAGTCCCCAAGGAGAGCGGGACCACAGCGGGGGAGAGCGAGAAAGGGCGCAGGCAGCGCCACATCGCTATTGGCTGTCGCCGCCGTCCATCCCAGCTCCACCACCAATAGCAACTCAAGACTCTGCGGGCCTAAAGGAGAGTGCGCTCGGCCCCGCCTGGGCCAATAGCGTGGGAGAAGGTGGGCGGGGCTCCCACGGGCGCCGCGAAGAGGGGAGGCCAAGATGGCGATAAGGGGGGGGCCCGGCTGCCGCGGCGCTGCCCGTTGCCCCTCCACAGGCGCCCGCCGCCGCCCCCACCCTGTTCGGCGAGGGGCCGCGGGCCGCTCCCGCCGCGCAGAGACGCGGCTGGGTGGGGGAGCGACCCTCAGGCTGCGGCGCACAGGCCTCCCCCGGCTCCTTCCCGCCCGCCCGGTCACCTTCCCGCGACCCCGGCGCGGGGGTG